ACTACCTTTGCAAATCTGGTGCTAATTACACTTAGACTGGCGCCATAAAGTGACTGAAAGGCGAGGTACAAATTGCCACGCTCATGTATGTAAATCTAGCCCTTAAAGACGACATGTTGTTTATGCTGCTGTTCATACTTCTGACTGCAGTAGGTTTTGACATTTATTGTCAATTATCTTTAGAAATCCCTCACGAAAAGCCAATTTAGTGCCACTAAATGTTGAATTTATATGGCAACAAATTCCAATGTTTTTCATTAGTGGACTGTAAGTTAGCAAAAAGATAAGTGAAATGCATATAAGTAATTTCTGAAAATCTGCTAATTGTAGCTTATAAGGTTTATAACAGAGAAAACTCATAGTTAAATAGTACTTCTGTTTGAAGCAGTGTAATTCACTACTTTTAATCTACTTAAATTGCCACCAATCCATTTAAATTATAGTACGTGAGAAACAGGCAATGGCAAGGTCGACCATGTCACTACTTAACCAGACAAATAGGCTGATAGACAAGTTCAGCAGCCACAGCTACACTAACAGCCAGGCAAACAGAAGAAGAATAGGCTGACTGGCAGAGAAATGACAGGCAGTATGCTCAGTACCAGAGAAACAGAAAGACTGCGAAGATTTTTTCATTTTTTGCAGTGCCCACAAGTTTGGACAGACTGACCAACACACTGAGGGCTGGGCTCTGGGCTCTGAGGCCTGTAGGAGCCAGTACAAATGAAAGTAGGGAAAAAGAGAGAGCGACAGAGAGAGAGAAGCAAAATAGTTATTAATCAGTAATCATTAGATTCCAAATTTTAAAAGATCAATTTAATTTAGTCTTCAATGCAAAATGTGCACTATCAGCAACACTAAAGGACAAATAAAGACATGTATTGGAGGATTCAGAAGCATGCTGGTGGCTTAGTGTGCCCGGTCAAAGAGCAAGCATTCAAATGCAGTCTCCTGGAGCGCTGTCACATCTCTCTTCAGTCTTTATTTCACATGGTTCTAATATTCTAAATAAGACACTTGAGATTCAAGCTGCTCAGTTTCACTGAAATAAATAAGGAAGAAACAATTGCAGAAACACGCACGTAGAGCCCAGCTAATGGAATGACTAAGGATGGAACTTCAAAGAATTACAGCCTGAGTGCCAAACATCACTGTAGACCCTTATATCAAAGCAACAGCTTTAACAAGGCTCTTAGAGGTACACGAGTGCACATGCACTCATGCACATACAATGCATCCACACAAACTCCCCTGAGGGAATCTCTAAAATGGAGATACACTTACAGTTTGGCCACCATTGTTTGCTATGGGCATTAATCCTGCTGCCTGTTTTGAGTGAAATGCAAACAAGCCCACAGATGTATTCTCTGTTTTTCCCTTTTCTGTTTCACCAAAGCTAATATAATGTTTTATGTGTGTGTGCTCTTACTTAAGTGTGTGAATGGATGTTGATAATAGGGCTCTTTGTATTTGATTATCAGTTAATTAAATCATGGAAGGGATTCAAAGTCCTAACATGTAAACTGTCAGAACTTAGAAATCCATTCAGGGCTTTTTCCCCTTTCTTTTTTTAAATCTCTAAAGTCAATTAAAAAAAAACCTGCAAAGCAGTGAGAACAGTGATTCTGTTTTATTCACGTTTCTAACTTTGACCCCATTCTACCCTCCTCTTCACTTGTTTTCTTTAATCAATAAAAAAGGGATCCAATACTGAAAGAAGGAATACGAATTAATGCAAATCATCAGTAGTAATTTTGTCGTGCAATATTAAAAAGCTTTATGCATTTGATCACTCTGAATTCACTTTTAAATATGTAATTACTGCAATTTCTTGACTGCCCTTCTTCTGCTGGTAGAATAAAGGGTCATGGAGAAGGGCTGAACCTCATCCCAATTACAATGTATGTAAATTTAACAAAACTACAAATTAATCACAGTCAGCTGTGTGTACTCTAAGGTATATTTCAAATATAAATACGAATACAATGCATGCACAAGTATCAGACGAAGCAAATAAACTAAAAGGGCATAAACACGGGTGCAACATGGTTTACAACAAAATGTTTGTTTCTTTTCGTGCCTGCTCATTATTGTGCCTTGATCAAATCTCTGTTTATTCTAAGGCAGCCCGCCAGTCAAAAACGATCACAGGCACATGGATGCTTGTGTGACGATCAGTTTGTCTTTCCATTTCACTTCCATTTCATTGAGCCAAAATACGAGCTTCTCTGTGAAAAACTTGAACTCAGTATAATGGTTCCCAAATCATGGATACTGGCCCATATGTGCAGCAGTTGTATCTGCTCGTGATAGCCTGATTGTTGGATTTTGTTAATTCCATGTTCTATAGAAAGAATTTTGTACTACACAGTAGACGTTTGTAAGAGTGAATCAACCATGACATTTCTAAAATCACATAATCCTTACATCCTGAGAGGAAGACAATAGATGAGAATTTATTTACATTGCACAGGCTTTTGGATGACTATTAGACAATTTAGACAAATGTCCTGATTAGCAATTCACACAGTGTAGTAGAAAAGAATGTGTGTGACACAGCCTGTTGTCAGATGACTCATTAGTCATGTAGGCAGTGCCAATACTTCTGCCTCATTTCTATATTTTGTATTTTGCAATATTTCTGAATTCAAATGCTTACACCAATAAAGTGAACATGTCATTCAAAGTTGCTTAGCTGAACTGAATGTCCACATCATTAAATTACATCCTGTAATTTTTCACAGCACTCTTCATTAAACAACAATGCCATCTGTTTAAAAAAGAATGATGATGACTTTAAGATTAATTTTTAAATAAAAATAATGAAAGTTTAAGGTAAATGTTTATAAAGAAAGCTATTCTTGGGTTCTTTTGTTTCGTATCTCCAGCAGCCCCAGCTTAAAGTTAATGTATATGTTTATTTGTTCACATCTTGCATGATGTTATGGTGTGCTCACTGTGTATGTTTGTTCATGTATGCCCTGTGGCACTGTCAATTAATACACCCACACATTCTTTCTCTCTCTGCTTATTTTTAATGATGTTCTGGGTTATTTTAATTTATGTTGTGCTACAGAGCCCATTGGTGAGAACAAGGGTTGCTGCTAGGCGTTTAAGCATGTGATCAGCAGGTAAACCAACAAAAGAATCCCACACTGCTTGAATAATGTTAAGTTGCTGAGGTTAATTTGGAATACCTCAGCCTTTTCTCCCCGCTTCCCTTCCTTAAAAAGGGCTTCTTGACAGTTTCCCCTTGATTGAGACTATTTCTGATGAGGCTTCAGGATACAGGTCCTACAGTATGTCAGGTTTTGTTATTTCTTTAAAGTTATTATAATTTCTTAAAGATATGTCTATCAAATCCCATCTTTCGCCTGGTAAATAATTTTGCAGGTCTCCAGCTTCTCTCCATTTGTCCAGTTTCCTTAATTTTTTAAGGGTATCCAGCACACCGAAATGTGGCAAGTTTTAGGCTACAGTAATAGCTCTTTCGAAATCACCTTGTTAGTGCAAAAATACCATTTTATGCCTGTCAAACTATCTTGCTATCTCTTTTTTGCATTCTTCACAGATTGCACAAAAGAAAGGAGAAAAAAAGCAAAAACAACTACACAAATGATGGGTTTCTGTGACAGGCTGCTAGTAACATAGTGTCCAAAGTTACAATTTAAGACTGGTTCTTTGCTAAGTTGTCTGTTAAGTGTAGATACAAAACTGGTTCATCCCTTGGGAGAGATGTTTATGCTTGAATGATTCATAGATCAGTGTTTGGTGGCTTAACAAACAAACTAACAAACAAAATGAAGGCATTCCTCTGAGGATGTCCTTGGAAAGGCCACTCTGAAAAATTAAAAGAAAATCTGACTCTTTGGAAGGAAAACAAAGTAACAACTTTTGAAAAATGTATATGCACTGAAAACATGCTCAGATTTAATAATTTTGTAAATGTTTCTGTTCATATAAAAAGCACAAACGTCCAGTAGCCCTCACTGAATCCTGTTTCTTATTACTACCAGTGATAAGTCAACAAGTCAAACTAAGCTTAGTTATACGTGATTCTTTCATATTGAATTCCAATTTAAAATCAAGCCTGTTGGTTTGGCTTGTGAACCAGCAGCTATAATATTAAAATATAAATGCCCACATGGATGAAAAAAAGTTGTATAATTCAGAATGTCCACTGATTAAAAATATGAACATTCCAGAGTCAATTTCTTCTACTAGATTTTAATTAAATAAACTGGCTGGAAACCCAAACAAAAAAGAGAGAGGGAAAAAACCTCATATCCTCAACTGATTGTGATGCAGGTCAACTCATAAAGGCCTGCCAGCAATGCAAAATAAAAATAAAATATTTTTAAAAGTTGGCCAACTTTTCAAATCTTTATTTTTTCCCACATGAATCAGTTCATGTTCTTAAGATAGAATAGGTCAGGAAAATGCTGAAATGACTGTGAAAGCACCGCATGCTTATGTGTTTCAGTTCTAAAATGATAACAAGACTAAGATTGTCTGTAGAAATACTGCAAATTTTACACATTTTTAATTAAATCTGCATTGGATCAAATGGAAATTAATACATGTATTTAACTGTGTTACATAAACAATTCAGGATTATTTGAAAATCAAAAAAGGAGCTGGGGTATCAAAATAAACACAAATGATTCCTTTTTTTGTTTAAATCTATTTAAAGCAAACGTGTAACTTAGAATATGTGAAGCAAACACAGAATTACACCCATCCCTATATAAGGCCAATATAAGAAAAGCTATTTAAGAAAACCCAAAATGTTGATTCTGTTCATCTGGACGTAGCGTTTACAGTGGGAGAAAACTCTACGTCCAGATGAACAGAATCAACTTTTTAGGGATTTCCTTACCTGGATGACTGAGCATGCATCAACATATTTAAGAAAAACATATTTCAATTTGAAACAGATACATTCTATTAGTCCTGTTGGTGCAATGCATAAATGTTACAACACAGTATTATCTCCCTACCTTCTTGCACAGCCTGGAAAGGGTTGTTCCCATCAACGAACTCCACAGAGATGGTGATCTTCTCTGTCTCCAAAATCTCGTTGTTTAAATTGAGATCCGCCACAGCAAGGCGAAACACCTCATCATCTTTCCGTGCTGACTCATCAAAGATGGCACCTATTAGAAGAAGAAGGAAAGAAACAAAAAAGGCATTATCTTTTGGGTTATTTTTACAGAACTCTGAAGTATGTAATCTACAAAGGGAATTCTTCAAAGAAATGCCTCAAAATATAATTCCATCCAAGTGGATTTAGTGTTCACCCTACCTATAGAAAAGCCGCTGATGCCTTTTCCACCTGTGCTTGAGTTCCCCAATATATAACCACCTCACTACTACTCACTAAATAGCTAGTAATGTGTTTACAGGGAATCTCCTTCATTTACATTCTTTAAATGGCTAACTGCCTTGTAATGCTGGTATTGGAAACCAAAGGCAGCAAAGTTTAACCAATTATATTACCCACATTCATGAAACCAGCTTCAAATAAGTCTAGAAATATAGACTTTAAGTATTTAGCCCCTGTTCTGGCATCCTGCATGAAAAAGAAGGGACTAATGGGCTTACATGAATGTTCATTCCAGTGTCAAAAACTACCTAGTGTAGGGCACTGACTCAGACAAAACAGTTGCCCCACAAGGGGAAATGGAAGAAGAACTGGTGTGTGTTAGTATCTGTAGTGGCAGATAAAGTTCCCACTAGTGAATACTAAATTAGTCATAAAAATAAATGTCAACCTGCAGTGCTGCTGAGACAGACAAATGAGGCAATGTGGGGTGTTGACTGGCTAGCAGAGATTCGGTCTATGCTTTGGTCTGTTACACACAATTAACCATATGTTTTTTTTTCTTATTTTACTTCTCTTTAGCCTCTCAATTCAACCCAGTTTATCCCCTGAATCCACTGGGCCACTAATTGTGTAAGCCAGCGCAGTGAAGCACTGCTAACCGCATTTCATTGACCAGAAAATAAGCCTCATACTGTATAGTGTGGATGTGTGTGCCTGTGCATGTGTGTAAGACACAGGTAGCAAAATCCATTAATAACCAAGAAGGCTGCTTTGGCTGAGGGCTGTTTTGTACCACATTTAGAAAACTATATCTGTAATTGGCTGTGCATAGCCTGATGTTAATACCACAAAGGTTGTGGACTAAATCCCAGAGAGCCCAAACTTCACCGTCTTTATTTTGCAGTACTTTGGATACATCATCCAGGAAATCATATACAGTATTACATTTTTACAATAAGATTAGTTGGTTCTTGTGCTTTAGAAATCCACTTGCCTCTTTAATTGTTTAAAAAAAATCTCTTCCTTATGCTCTTTTTTAGGTTACTGGAATCTGTTAAACTGTCAATAATTTAATTGTCAATACATTTAATTAGAAAAAGATATGTGGCTAGCAAAATTTGTAAAACCCTAAATATTATCACATCTGCAACAGTTTAAACAACGTTTTGATTAAACTCAACTTCTGAAGGGCAATCCATTCCAGCACAGCCTTTATACGCACACCTCATTCAAAACCACATGCGGTTAGGAATGATATGTTAACTGCCTCTGCGTCAAAGGCCTCATTAAATATGTATCGTTCAATCACTTGATTCCTCAGCATTAGGCAACTGTAAATACCAGGCAACTGATTGAGTCTTGGTTGTTTTTATAATCATGCAGTATAGATGAGGTGAGACAAGCAGGCCTGGACAAAGCGATAAAGAATGAAGAACAAAGACATTAACTATTCCATTAGTGATAAATTTTGAATAAGGTCCCAATCAGTTTGAAGATGACACTGCTGGGAGAGGATTGGTACAGATTTTAAACTGGAACCATGACACTGTAAAGGTTATATGTCTAGAGGACAAAAGCACATCGAAATGTTTGACATTAGTAAGCTGATTTATGACTTTCTGTGTGTTTTCCTTTGTGGATAAAGTTTTGTAATATTTTTTTTGTCTTTTTTTTTTTTACAAACATGCAGAGGGAACAGTAAATGGCTCCTTTAATCTAGGTTTCTACAAGGATGTTTCCATAGTAACCTGCTCCCAGGCATATGTTAAAAGCTTTACTGCATCGTACACCACTCTCTTTGCATATGGTTTGTTTCCTTGTAAAGTGTGTATTTCCTTTATCACACCAGCAATGCATTTTGGGATCTAGTGACCACAATGGTAACAAAAGATATTGAAATGGAGAAGAAGACACCGTATTGTAGTATTTTTTCATGTCACTTTTCTTTCTTCTGTTATCACCTATATCATTTCTCTATCAAAGCTGCTACACCTGCACGGTGATATATTAGCTACGTGCATGTGACTGAAAATAACACTCTTTAATCGAGACCCAGTGTGCATGCAGAAAGGGAGATGAGAAAAAAATGTAGGTGATAATGAAAAAAAAAAGTCCTTGGTCTGTGAAGCAGATTTGAATCTTAATCCAAATGTGTTTTAAACATGCTTTTATGCCTTAAGGCTGTGGTTCTCAAGCTGTGGGTGGGGCCCCTTTCTGGGGCATGGAGTCACTGCAGGGGGGCATGAAAGTCCAAGGTAAATGTGAACAAAGAATCGGAATTAAGTCTGGAAAATAAACACACTACAATTCGCTGACTCTTTCTCATCTTTATTTCACTAAAGCTAAACTTGGCTCCTGTTGTTCCTAATGATTGAAGAGTAGCATGAACCTTTTGAGGCTTCTGAACTCAAACACTAATCAAACTATTTTGGAATCTCCCAAATATTACCATCTTTAATGTGTACATATTAAAAAAATAATTAACTTTTCACAAGAAGAAAGCACAAGACAAGAGATGAGAACAGACGATTGGTAAATGTCTGCTGTTCACTGTCAGCTATTTTGGAACAACAGCGTTACTGCATGCTGATTAGCAAACACAGACACGCACACACACACAGACATGCACACACACAAACAACACACAGGGCCCTGGCTCTTCCTCCCTTCCAGTAATGTGATTGTGAGTGCAAAGGCAGACGTCACAGCATAAATCAGCAAGCCAGGATATAAAAGTACTGAATCTTGCTTTACACGGATGCCTCAAGGGCAGTCACACACACACACACACACACATACACACACATATACAGCATGTGAGCAGAAGTACTAAATCATCAACATTTTTCCCCAACCATGCCTTCGACGTCAACAGCATTATCAGCAACAGTGGTCAATTTCTAGTGATGTAGGATTCAAAAACTTAAAGTGTTTTGGTCAGGAAGTATCGATCAAATTTAAGTGTTTAGTATTCATTTCCTAGTTTGTTTACATTGATAAAGAGGTAATAAATAACTTGTTTATCTACTTCCTGCCAAACAACCGACTGGGATGGATGAGTGATGCTAGAGGTAAAAATAAAAAAAAGAGGGGAATGTGTTGTCACACAAAGCCACAAATAAGTTAGAATAGTCTTTTCTTTTGCCCCAGCCAATATCTGCTGGAATCTCAGTAATGTTCGCTTTTACATATCCTCTCTTTTTATTCACTGTAAATATATGCAGTTAACAAACAAAGCAGCATCTACATGTTCATATTTGGTCAATTTCTCCTTCTGATTTGAAAGTAACAAAATCTTGATTCACACACTCAATCATCATCATATATACTGTATATATATATATACATATATATAGTTAAAGATATATGTGTGTGTGTGTGTTTGTGAAAGATCAAAGGATTTGATTGATTGGTAATTTATTTCAACATGTGAACAATATACAAGTACATTTAAAAAAGAAAATAAGAGAGAAAAAAAAAGGATGATCATTAGTCAGTATGTGGGCTTTAATGTCAGCTTTATTGCCATGATTGTGTAATCACACATGCATATTTATCTGCATAATTATCTGGTTTGCACAACAGAAGTTTATCTAGAGGTTAATTTTTTTTTTTTTTTAGATTTTTAACAAGGCTAAGAGTCTACACCCACGCTAGCAGTTGCAGCCGTGTGATGCTGTGCTGTAGAGTGCAATGGAACCACTGCAATTTACTATGTAGGAATGATAACCTTTATAAACATTTAATGTGCTTAATTAGCACTATACAACATAAAATGCTGCTTATCAAAGAAAAATGGGTTTGCTTTTTGAAAAACAAAGGGATTACTGTTCATTCTGTGTAAAATCGGATATGTATAACTCACTGTGGTTTAGTGAGATGCTGTGTGCGAGAAACATAAACATTTGCAATATGTACACAAAGAGTTGAATTGAATTTTCTTTTTTTAAAGGAGAGATAAGCGTTGCCATTGTGCAACAGGAAAAGTCTCGGCTACCAGAGTCAATAATCGTCAACTGAGGAACAATACCTATGGACCAAAATTCACAGTATTCCAGGCAGTAGTGTGACTGTGACATAATAATAATTGGTGGAGAGACTCACTACAGGGAGTGCGGAATTATTAGGCAAATGAGTATTTTGTCCACATCATCCTCTTCATGCATGTTGTCTTACTCCAAGCTGTATAGGCTCGAAAGCCTACTACCAATTAAGCATATTAGGTGATGTGCATCTCTGTAATGAGAAGGGGTGTGGTCTAATGACATCAACACCCTATATCAGGTGTGCATAATTATTAGGCAACATCCGTTCTTTTGGCAAAATGAGTCAAAAGAAGGACTTGACAGGCTCAGAAAAGTCAAAAATAGTGAGATATCTTGCAGAGGGATGCAGCAGTCTCAAAATTGCAAAGCTTCTGAAGCGTGATCATCGAACAATCAAGCGTTTCATTCAAAATAGTCAACAGGGTCGCAAGAAGCGTGTGGAAAAACCAAGGTGCAAAATAACTGCCCATGAACTGAGAAAAGTCAAGCGTGCAGCTGCCAAGATGCCACTTGCCACCAGTTTGGCCATATTTCAGAGCTGCAACATCACTGGAGTGCCCAAAAGCACACAAGGTGTGCAATACTCAGAGACATGGCCAAGGTAAGAAAGGCTGAAAGACGACCACCACTGAACAAGACACACAAGCTGAAACGTCAAGACTGGGCCAAGAAATATCTCAAGACTGATTTTTCTAAGGTTTTATGGACTGATGAAATGAGAGTGAGTCTTGATGGGCCAGATGGATGGGCCCATGGCTGGATTGGTAAAGGGCAGAGAGCTCCA